CAGCTTTGGAATTGGGAATATGTATTAAATCTATATTGAGAAATATGCGGGAGGGGACATTCAGGAACTATAGTCAGTTTTTCCTCCTCCTCCTCCCAATCCTCCACATTCCAGTAATCTGTACTGCTATTAAATTAAAAAAATTAAATTAGTGGGCAAATGCCAAAAATGCACCTTTGTTTCAAAATTCCTTTATATATACTCTAGGCCCTATGAACCAGTAGGAGAACTGGCTAATGTCTTTGCTAACATTGTTGAGGGCTCGTTTTTGTTTCCAAATTAGTAAAAAAAATAAAAATAAAAATTAAGATCGCTGAACAGAGCACCAGCTCCTCAAATTGAAGCCACTGATGCTTTTCCTGGAAAATACTAAAGCTTACATTTTTTTCCACCAAAGTCTTTAATTTATGTTCTTCAAAACTGATCGGTTTATCACAGGTTCACTCTGACTTTTCCTTTGGAATGAGAATGAATATTCAAGTGAACAACCATAATTACAAATAGCCTGAATTATATACTATTAGATGTAATGTAGTCAACTACATTAACTACTTCCCTCCTGATGCAAACAAAAAGCCATCCAGATCCAAAACAACCACCATCTCAGGGATGACAGAATCTGGGATTAAGGCATAGTAATTTTACATTCTATTGACTGCATGCACTTGAAGTAGGAAGAGCACCTAGAGCCACCTGCTTTCTTCATTTGAGAAATGATTTCAATTCAGAAAAGATAGGAGGAAGCAAAAATATAATCGTTTTGCTATAAAAAGACCCAGTATACTGTATTCCAAAAGTGAAGTAAGAGTGGGCTTAATAAAATTAATATTTTACTTCTGTTACCTTATGTGGCATCTTTGTATATTAATGCTGGCTCTAATTCAAACAAAACAATTCAACAGCTAAACTCTTTAGTTTGCCAGCTCTACTGGTTGTGAGCTCTTGTAAGGGTATAGCCGTGACAAACGGAAGGGATGATACTGTCCTGACACTAATCAAGAATAATATTCCAACCCAGCATGAAAAATTATTGAAACCCAAGCATTAGTAATTTCTAGATACTACTTTATTTGCATGCAAATTAAAAACAAAACAAAACAGTAGATCGAGACTAAACAATGCAGGAGTTTTCAAGAGTTCCCTGTGACATGAAGCCATTCCTCCCTGGATTCTCAGATTAATAGAAGGATTTCTTTGCTTTAGGAAAGGACTATCTGAATGTATCCAAACATAAAAATAAAACTTGCTTATGTAAGAGTAAACTGCAACTAAGTACAATGGTGCTGCCCTCTCTACCCATCAGGCAACCTCACAATTTGTGGTGTATGCTTCAAGCTACATACAACCTTTTTTTACTTGTTCAGTCACAAACTGTGCGCCTGAAGTCAGGAGACGGGATTGCAACACGTTTAAGAATACTCAAATCAGCCTTAATCTAGATAGTCTGTATACAAGCAGCAGTAAAACTGCAACAGTGCAGACATGACAAGGCCAAATGGAGCCCTGGGTACATGGGTGACTAGCTCTCACTTCAAACCAGGCTACCACATCTTCACAGAAATCCAAGCTGTTTGCTTAGAACTAAATTTGGGTATGCCTATAGAAATTTAGTTCTAAGCAAACAGCCCAAGAAAAGCTATTACTGCTTTGCAATATAATTCCTGAAATTTTTCCATTCAAAATCCTCAGCTTCAGTGACACACGAAGATTTCAGCAGTAACTTCTCCAAAATCTCATTCCTGGGCAACCCTGGACTTTTCACTTCTGTGGTCCAGTAGTGTTCAACCCTCCCAGGCCAAATATGTGACTTGGACCCTGCACACCAGGATTGGACCTCTGCACCCAGATCCAGACTGCACTGCTCTCCTTGTGCCAGGATCAAGATTGAGGGGACCCTGTACCATCTCTGCCTGGCCCCATGCCACCACTGTGCACGCCAGATCTAGCATGCAGGGCCACAGCTTGCCAGGCTCCCCACAGACCAACAGGGAGGCCAGATGACAAGGGCCAGATCCAGCCCTGTAGGCCAGATGACAAGGCACTGGGGGGCTGGATCTGGCCCACAGGCTGGGTCTAGAGTACCTCTGCTTTAGTCGACTCTTATGACTATCATCTAACAATTAAAGTTTCAGTGTAACTTTAGTAAGTGAGTTTGTCCATCTCAATATGAATGGCATGATTTCAGAAAGGTTACAGAATTTATTTGATACCCATTTAGCTTAGTTTAGCCATCAGACATGTAGGAAGTAGGCTAAACATGCTGCCATAGATATTTCATTGTTAGTGGATTATGTATAATGGCCATCTCATTCAGTAAGGCTTGTTTTATTTCAAGCAACGTGTCACTGTAATACTCGAAACCAAAAAGATAATAAGGAATAGCAAAAAAATTGCACAAAAAGGACATCAGAGTGGGTGACTCACCAAGTAACTGTATACCTAGAAGTCCATAAAATCTTCATTAACTGTAGTCTGAAACACCAGAAGTGGGAACAGCTATTGTACGTGTTGGCAGGGTAGCCATTCAGTTCTTTGACACCCCCAGCAATAATTCCAAACAAAACTTTTACAGACTATGAGAAGCCTTTCATGAGATTTGGAACTTGCAATATGCAAAGATTTCCTCAGTCTTCATACATTTGAGATGCTTCTTTAACATATACCACAGTGGCAACTCCTTGTACTCTCCACTTTCCCTTTCCAGGTGGGTGTGCTGAAGTCATGGAGCTTGTGTACTCATACCAGAACATTAACACTAGTGCTTTTCACTTCAAATAATCAAAAAGTTTCAAAAAGTTACTTTGAAACTTAGCCTTCATTAACAAGCAAAACCCTAGTTAACCAATGACTATTTACTTTAAACCAAAGCTAAACTAATGTATTTGAAGATTGTCCCACAAATGCCAGAAAAAGCTAGCCTGGCTCTAAACCATCACCTGTACTAAATGGAAAAGTAAATTTTGGATCACAGATTTACTTAGTTAAAAAACAAAATGCTGAAAGTATGTCCTCCCAAAAGGGTGGGGAAAGAAATCTAACAACTCAACTTTAATACCCAATTTGCAACAAGATACAGGAAAAGCAAGAGGCTGGGAAGTCTTAACAGAAAAGTGGAAGTTTTGATAACGGAGGAAAACAAGACTGTTGACATCAGCCAACATATACAAATTCCACTATTTTCAGAAAACAAAATTTAAGGCCCATCTAAACCAATACAGACAGTAGATTTCCAAGCAATAAGCACTTTAGAAAGAATGCACTCTAGACCACTGAGAGGGAAGTAATCTACTCTTCAGAAAGAAATTTAGTCATGGTGGGAAATGAAAATTGACCACTTAATCCCCGAGATTTACACGGCATTTCTCCCATAGATCTCAGTATTGCAGAAGCTTAACAAAACGGCTGCTTGACAAAGCTATGGGGGTCATGAAAAAAGAGCTAAACCTGCAGCCCTACTAGCAAGAAGAGTTAATATTAAATTACTGAATACAAGTCACTTTCACCAAATGTGAACAATAAAAAAAAAAAAAAAATTCAGACAGATGCTGTCCAAGTGGCAGGCAGGTCAAAGGGGGCTGGGGGGGAAGAGTAAGGGCCAGAATGAAAAACTAGGACTTGGTAGACCCAGCCTCATCCGAAGTTATTACAACTCTGTGTAAAATTATGACCTCTCTCTCTTCATACAGCACCATACAAGGGCCAAGTGTTAGGATTAAGCCAGAAATCTCCATGCAGGTCTACAAAGCAATCCCAATGTATTTCCTATTCTTGCAGACCCCTTCACTAAAAGCTTCCTCAAACTTGACTTAAAGTACTGGTATAAGTCAGGTTAAAGCATTAACTCAAGGCTCACACTTGACTTTGAGTATACCTGAAAGCCTAACATTTCTTCCTACCCAAATTTTATACCAAAATCCTGGGGGAAGAAAAAGAAAGATGTGGTAGAGCTATTTTTTCCAAGTCTAAGGGCTCCTTGTTCATTGCACTTACTAATTCCTTCCTGTTCCAAGAGGAATGAGTCACCTCCTGGAACCGGTAACCACAGGGAAGTCCCTCCTGTCAGCTGCCCACCCCTCAGCACCCATGCCCAGGAGCGTGCCTCCCGTTTTGTAATGCTCTTGAAAAACATCAAGGGAAAGGAACGGTCTTTTAATGGCAGATGAAGCTTCGGATGGTACAATGGAGCTCGTCCATCGTAGCTTCCACCAAGCACTTGGTAGATGTTTCCTGCAACCACAGCTGGAACCAAACGTGGATGCAGTTTTCCTTATTTTGCCATGCACACAAGCCCCTACCTATATTTTTGGCGGCGAATCCCATGGACCTGCAACCTGGTCCCATTCAGAACTGAGAAAGATCCTATACTATTACCTTTAAAAGCAGAGGTTGTCGTCACACAAGCCTGCCTGTAGAAAATACTTATCACCTGCTCGGGAAGGGGCCCATAAAATGACTACAGAATGAACTGTACAGGGGGAAAAAAAACCAGAACCACCCAAAAAACATGCGCTCAGGGATGTACCCTACCCTTTTTTTTTCCTCATGGCAGAGGCAGACAGAAGCAATAAAGAAAGCAGTGCAGGCGAGCCCTATCTGCCACAGCCTGCGCACTTCTCCTGCACCCCGGGGGGTAATGTCTTGCTGCTCCCCTTTGCGGATTTGTAGATGTTGGGGCTGGAAGAGACTTCAACACACCATCGAGCCCGACCCCCTCCTGGGCAGGAACGACCAGCCAGGTGCCTATCCAGCCTCCTCTTAAAGACCCCCAAGGCAGGGCAGAGCCGCCTCCCTTGGACGTTCCCGCTCCCAGTTTTGGCCACCCTCCCCGTGAAGAAGTTTTCCCTGATATCTAGCCTAGACCTTCTCTCCGTCAGTGTGTGAGCACCGTCCCTTGTCACCTCGAGACGCGCCCGGGTGAGCAGAGCGTCTCCGGCCCCTTGCCGCCCCCCCCTTCAAAAAGCGCCGCCCCGACCCCCGCCGGGCCGGGCCGCGCCGCGCACCTTGAGGATGTTCTCGTAGATGGTGGCTCGGAAGTCGAGCAGCGCCTTCTGGTCGAACTCGCGGCCGTGGATGATGCGCATCTGCTTGAGGAAGGTGGACTTGCCACTCTCGCCCGCGCCCAGCAGCAGGATCTTGACGAGG